TGGGGGAAAGTGTATGATAAATGATGGTTAAGAAGACATAAAACACGAGAAGCACTGCATGGACTATTAATCTTGCAGTATCCAGCCCCATGAAGGGACTGGGTCTAATATTGGTTCTGCTACCCGCTCCCATAAGGCTAAAGAATGATATATGGAAATTGTATTGATTGGGGTTTATTTCAAGACTCCCTATAGTTGCCAAAATACAGGGTGAGGCAGCATAACTTCCTTTTTTCAAAACTTAATAAAACCCATTGTATGAATCAATTTTTTTAAAAAAAAATTATAATGTAGGCGCATACCTAAAGTTTTGTTTTATGTAGTTTTGAAGATCAAATTAGATAGGTGATGTCCCCCATTCTCCATACACTGAGTAAACCGATTTCTGGCATTTGTATATAATGTATACAATACAGGCATTGTGGTGGCAATTTCTTCCTGGATGTTGGCCTTCAAAACTTGTAGGGTGCTTGGACGGTTCACATAAACACAAGATTTCAAAAAACCCCATAGAAAAAAAATCACAAGGGGCCAAATCTGGAGAGCGGGCTGGCCACTCCAAATCCGCTCAAAAAGTAGGCCTCGGTGGCCAAAGCACGCTCCTCAATGTTCCAACGCATGATGGCAACTGAACTGTTTCAGGACAAAACTTTATACTCCCGCCTCTCAAACGAGACCACTAGCGCTCCGCGACGTCTTCAACAGACTGAATGGAAAAGGAAATTATGCTGCCTCACCCTGTATCTGAATGCTCAAGTCCCATTATATACAATGACATAGTAAAATGGTGACACTTCTATAAAATTGCAAAAGCAAGCTTTGCTTTCAGGATTTTGCATTTCTTTATATTATTGAGCCACAGATGGCGACATCTTTAGAAGCAGAATCAGTGAATAATTAAGTGGTGACTGTACTTTATTAACTGAGGTCTCCCTAGGACAGTGGTTCCCAACCTTTTTTAAACCAGGGACCACTCTCCAACATTAGTACCAAAAAGGGTTATGAATCAGTTTTTGGTCAACTTTAGATTTGGTTTGGTTATTTGGGTGATGATTCAGAAAATTGTATTGGATAGACCACATCAGCCGGGAAGTAGCAGCCAACAGTGAAAGGTCCAAGGCAGTGACATCTCCAGCTCATCCCGTTTGGGTATCAGCCAGCACATCAACGACTTAAATCAAGAAATAGTTTTCTAAGATCTACAGAGACACTCGCTGGAACACCCCAGCAAGCGAGAGTCCAAAAGTGGCAGGCTCAAACCCAGACCCTCAATCAATGGCTGATACCAAACGAGAGACTCCCCCGGGGCACACAGAAGACTGGGCGACTTGGAAGGCGCTGAACAGACTGTACTCTGGCACCACAAGATGCAGAGCCAACCTTGAGAAATGGGGCTACAAAGTGGAATCCACGACATGCGCGTGTGGAGAAGAGCAAACCATTGACCACCTGCTGCGATGCAACCTGAGCCCTGTCACATGCACAATGGAGTACCTTCTTATAGTAACACCAGAGGCATTCCAACTGGCCAGTTACTGGTCAAAGGACATTTAATCAACTACCAAGCTTGCAAACTTTGTGCTTTGTTTGTTAAAAAATGCAATACAACTGTTTGGTTTGCTCCTGACACAATAAATAAATAAATCAGCTCTAGTTTCTGACACATCATATGCCACCCGGTGGCGCAGTGGGTTAAAGCGCTGAGCTGCTGAGCTTATTGACCGAAAGGTTGCAGGTTCAATTCCGGAGAGCGGCGTGAGCTGTCAGCCCTAGCTTCTCACAACCTAGCAGTTCGAAAACATGCAAATGTGAGTAGATCATTACTGGTGGGAAGGTAATGGCGCTCCATGCAGTCATGCCGGCCAAATGACCTTGGAGGTATCTATGGACAACGTTGGCTCTTTGGCTTAGAAATGGAGATGAGCACCACACCCCAGAGTCAGACATGACTGGACTTAATGTCAGGGGGAAAAACTTGACCTTTACCTTTATGCCACCCAGTAGTCGCCATCTGCTCACCCGCAGAAAACCATATTCAATGATCTAGAGCTGATGTGGTCTATCCAATGCAGTTTTCTGAACCAGCACCCCAAATGCCCCCAGGAACAGGCCTAAATGAAGACACCAAGGTGCCCCCGCTTCCAGGTGCTACATGGAACAGCTCGGCGAGGGAGGAGGAGAAGCAGCAATTGGGAGATTTGTGCCTTTCATGGGTAGTCAGCCTCCCCTCCCAACATCCCCGTTGTCTGGGCACTATAAGAGGGTTTCGTGAGACCAGTTGCTGTCATGCAACGGTGTAGTAATGGTGAGGCCGCTAAGCATATTTTAGTTCTTGGGGATCACTGGTGGTCCATGGACCACAGGTTGGGAGCCAGCGCCCTACAATGTGCTTGGCAATAGTCTCACCTGCTAACGAGCGTTGGATTTTGTTTCTGTTATTAACACAATCTCCAAGCCAATGTGATCAGTCCAAACAAATCCCCACCCCAGCCATTCCACAGATATATAAACCCATTGTCCTATTTCCAACAGACCTCACTACCTCTGAGGATGTTTGCCATAGATGCAGGCGAAACGTCAGGGGAAATGCCTCTAGAACATGGCCCTATAGCCCGAAAAAAAAAACCCACAAGAACCTAGTAAATCCACAAACTTCAGTTATTGCCCCAGATAGGACAATTTTTGGTCACTGAAGTTCATTGTAGTTTGCAGCCTGCATTTTGCCACCCTTCCACAAAGGTTTCCACGACCAAGATGCAATTTCTGGGATCAGGAAGGATTAAATAAATACTCTTGAGCCTTTGTGCCCAGGTACACATAAAACGCTTTTCACTCTGGCGTGCAGAATTTCACCTTTTAGGACATAGTTCTGCTTCTGTCTTTGTATGAAGAGGGAAATGAGACCTTGCCCTCTTGCCTGAGTAAATATTAGTAAGTTCAACAAGGCAAACTTTGAAATTTTGGTGCCTTTAGTGGGCAGAACTAAATAATCATTCCAGCCAGTGACTAGAACTAGGTCTAAAAAGGATTGTGTTTACAAATGTTTCTCATTATGTATGCGTATCCAGTCTCTTTTGGAAAGACTTTTCTTGGGGGCAAATAATTTCAAAATGAGCCTGGAAACAAGCAATTATTCCCCTTAGTTATGTGCAAGAGCTTTCAAGGTGAGGATATTGCCTGTAGCATGTGGTTTGGCTCACTTGCTCCAACACTTGATGTATATTTTCTCTTGTGGGCTCCTGTTGTGCTTGTCATGTGCTCTCAGGTTGCACCTGCACTTCATGATGAGTGCAGTTTGACACCACTTTAACCGCTCCTGTGACCTGACCCCCTGGGAGCATCAACCACAAAGTGCACACAAAACACAGTGTTTACCTTTCTTTATTGATTAACCGCTCCCAAGGCTTCCTTGTTTTCCTGCAACGCTGATGAGTTGTGTATGCCTAGGTCTTCAAAGTGGACTTTTAAGCTAATGTTTGGACAGTGGAGTCGGAGTAGCTTTGCAAGCCTTTGCTTGGAACTGAAATAGACACCACTTGCCATGGTTCCATGCTATGGAATCCTGGGAGTTGTAGTTCTCCACGGTCTTTAGTTTTCTCTACTCAAAAGGGTTGATTTTGTTAGGGATACATATTTCATTTATGTGCTATGTGAGGCCCAGTCCACAGAAACTTGGTTAAGATTCAGAGCCAGCCAGTGCAGCACAAGCAGGCCTTTGATTCTGCCTTTCTAGGTTTTTTGTTGTTTACTCAACAGAAACGGATTTGAGAGTAACTCTTGCTGGACTAAGCCTCTGTCTTTGAAGCTGCCAAGTGGATCCATAAATGTGCATTTTCCCTAGTAAGCCAACCACATTCAGTGTAGACGCACTATGGCTTGCCTTATAAATCTTGGTATATAGGTAGGTAGGTGAGGGCCCCAGTGAACTACAATTCCCAGAGCCCCATAGCTTTGAGCCAAGGCAGTTGGAGGTGCCCCCAGCTTCCTTCCCCTTCCCTCCTTCCTTCCCACATTCTTGACTTCCCTCCTTCCTTCCTTTCCCTCCTTCCTTTCTTCTTTCACTTCCCTCCTTCCTTTCTTTCCCTTCTTCCTTCTGTTCTTTCTTCCCTTCTTCCTTCACTTCCCTCTTTCTTTTCCTTCTTCCTTTCCCTTCTTCTTTCCCCCTTCCTTCCTTCCTTCCTTCCTTTCCCTCTTTTCTTTCCTTCTTCCTTCACTTCCTTCATTTCCCTCCCTTTTCCCCCCTTCTTCCCTCCTTCCTTTCCCTTCTTCTTTCCCTCCTTCCTTTCCCTTTTTCTTTCCTTCTTCCTTCACTTCGTTTCCCTCCTTTTTTTCTTCCCTTCTTCCCTCCTTCCTTTCCCTCCTTTCTTCCTTCTTTCCCTCTTTTCTTCCCTTCTTCCTTCACTTCCTTCCCTCCTTCCTTCCTCCTTCCTCCTTCCCTTCCTCCTCCCTTTCCTTCCCTCCTTTCCTTCTCCTTCCCTTCTTCCTCCCTTCCCTTCTTCCTTCTCCTCCTTCTTCCTCTTCCTTTCCTTCTTTCGTTCCCTCCTTCCCTTCCCTCCTTTCTTCTTTCCCTAGAATCATAGAATCCTAGGGTTGGAAGAGACCTCCTGGGCCATCCAGTCCAACCTCATTCTGCCAAGAATCAGGAATATTGCATTCAAATCCACCCCTGACAGATGGCCATCCAGCCTCTGTTTAAAAGCTTCCAAAGAAGGAGCCTCTAGCACACTCCGGGGCAGAGAGTTCCACTGCTGAACGGCTCTCACAGTCAGGAAGTTCCCTCCTTCCTTTCCTTTCTCTCCTTCCTTCCCTTCCTTTCCCTTCCTCTCTTCCCCTTCTTCCTTCCTTCCCTTCTTCCCTCCTTCCTTTCCTTCTCTTCTCTTCCCTCCCCTCCCCTCCCTCCTCTTACCTGGCTAACGATTAACCCGGAGGGAGGGAGAGAGGGAGTGAGTCTCCTCCCCCTCTTGGTCCTGTCCCTACAAAAGCCCCTTCCCCTCGGTTTCCACGGAAGAGAGAGCGGGATAGAGGGAGCGGGGATGCCTGGCCTGGGTGGGCTGTTGTCGAGGGCGGGCGGGCGTGAGCGGGTGCTGCTGGTGGGCGAGTGGAAGCCCCCTTCCGCGCGGGAGTGGCTGGAAGCCTTGGCCCGGGACCTCTTCGGGGAAGAAGAAGAGGGGCAGGTGGAGCAGAAGGCCAAGGAAGAGAGCCCACCTCCCCCTTGCCCTCCCGGCCCTCCCCCTTGGCCTTCCTGCCGGCTGCTCTTCGTCCTCTTCGGCGCCGCTTCCTTGCTTCCCTCGCCCACCAAGAGGAAGAAGAAGGAGAAGGAGCGCCTCCGCCTCCGCGCCATCCTCCTCGACCTGCGACGCCGCCTCCGGGGGGGATTCCCCGCCGTGGTGGGCGTGGCCGTGCTGACGTCACAAGGGGGAGAGGGAGACCCCGCGGGAAGCGCGCGCCTCCCCCTGCTGGCCCTCCTGCGCAGCGTCTTCCGGGAGAGGAAGGGAGCCACCGCCGAGGAGACCCTGCAGGCCGCCCTCTACAATCCCGGAGCAGGAGGAGCGACGCAAGTCGAGGAGGCCGCCTCCAAGGCACTCTCCGCCGCCCTCAGGATCCAGGCAGGTAGGTGGAGGCATAGATATAAATATAGTAAGTAAATAAATAAATAATACACCCCAGAAGATCCTCCAGGAAATAAAGCCCGGCTGCTCATTGGAGGGAAGGAGACTAGAGACAGATTTGAAGTCCTTTGGCCACATCATGAGGAGACAGCAAAGCCTGGAGAAGGGAATGATGCTGGGGAAAATGGAAGGCAAAAGGAAGAGGGGCCGACCAAGGGCAAGATGGATGGGTGGCATCCTTGAAGTGACTGGACTGACCTTGAAGGAGCTGGGGGTGGTGATGGCCAACAGGGAGCTCTGGCGTGGGCTGGTCCATGAGGTCACGAAGAGTCGGAGACGACTGAACGAATGAACAACAACAGAAGATCAAGGCAGGAAATCCCACATTATCTGAGTGTGGACTCAGATAATGTGGGATTTCCTGCCTTGATCTTCTGGGATATATTATTTCTTTATTTATATCTATATCAATAAAAATCTAATGTTCGTTTCTGGGATTAACAGAACTCAAAAACAACCAGACGAATTGACACCCAATTTGGACACAAGACACCTAACAACCCAATGTATTGTCCTTCACTCAAAAAAATTTGATTTTGTCATTTGGGAGTTGTAGTTGCTGGGATTTATAGTTCACCTACAATCAAAGAGCATTCTGGACTCCATCAATGATGGAATTGGGCCAAACTTGGCACACAGTTCTCCCATGACCATCATTTGGGAGTTGTAGTTGCTGGGATTTATAGTTCACCTACAATCAAAAGAGGATTCTGGACTCCACCAATGATGGAATTGAACCAAACCTGGCACACAGTTCTCCCATGACCAACAGAAAATACTGGAAGAGTTTGGTGGGCATTGACCTTGAGTTTCGGAGTTGTAGTTCACCTACATCCAGAGAGCACTGTGGACTCAAACAATGATGGATCTGGATCAAACTCTACACGAATACTCAATATGCCCAAATGTAAACACTGGTGGAATTTAGGGGAAATATAATCTTGACATTTGGGAGTTGTAGTTGCTGGGATTTATAGTTCACCTACAATCAAAGAGCATTCTTGACCCCACCAACGATGGAATTGAAAAAACTTGGCACACAAAACTCCCACAACCAACAGAAAATACTGGAAGATTTTGGTGGGCATTGACCTTGAGTTTGGGAGTTGTAGTTCACCTACATCCAGAGAGCACATCATGATGGATCTGGACCAAACTCTACACGAAGACTCAATATGCCCAAATATAAACACAGATGGAGTTTGGGGGAAATAGACCTTGACATTTGGGAGTTGTAGTTGCTGGGTTTGCAGTTCACCTACAGTCACAGAGCATTCCGAACCCCACCAACGATAGAATTGGGCCAAACCTCTCACACAGAACTCCCATGTGGGCCACAGGATGTGTGGCAGGGGACGGCTATTAAACATATAAATATAGTAAATAAATAAACAGACATAGGGTATATAAATATAGCAAATAAATAAATAAATAATATATCCCAGAAGATCAAGGCAGGAAATCCCACATCTGAGTGTGGACTCAGATAATGTGGGATTTCCTGCCTTGCTCTTCTGGGATATATTTATTATTTATTTATTTAATAAATAATAAATAAATAGTGTGGACTCAGATAACCTCGTTCAAAGCAGATATTGTGGGATTTTCTGCCTGGATGAGCTGGAATGTGTCCAGAGGAGGGCGACTCAAAGGCAACTCCAGGGTCTGGAGAACAAGCCCTATGAGGAGCGGCTTAAAGAGCTGGGCATGTTTAGCCTTCAGAAGAGAAGGCTGAGAGGAGATATGATAGCCATGCATAAATATGTGAGAGGAAGCCACAGGGAGGAGGGAGCAAGCTTGTTTTCTGCTTCCATGGAGACTAGGACGCAAGGGAACAATGGCTTCAAACTACAAGAGAGGAGATTCCATCTGAACATGAGGAAGAACTTCATGACTGTGAGAGCCGTTCAGCAGTGGAACTCTCTGCCCCGGAGTGTGGTGGAGGCTCCTTCTTTGGAGGCTTTTAATCAGAGGCTGGATGGCCATCTGTCAGGGGTGCTTTGGATACAATTTTCCTGCTTCTTGGCAAAATACGGTTGGACTGGATGGCCCACGAGGTCTCTTCCAACTCTAGGATTCTATGATCTTCAGAGATATCAGGCTGTGTGGAAGGGCCCATAGAGATACATGGAGGGCATTGGCAGAAGTCTCTCTTTTTTGGAAAAGGCATAACCTTTTGGGAAAAGGGATGACCTTTGAGATCAATGGGCATCCATACTATTTGGAGTAATCATAACCTTTTGGGGGCGCAGTGGGTTAAAGCACTGAACTGCTGAACTTGTTGATCAAAAGGTCGCAGGTTCGATTCCGGGGAGCGGTGTGAGCTTCCGCTGTCAGCCCTAGCTTTTGCCAACCTAGCAGTTCGAAAACATGCAAATGTGAGTAGATCAATAGGTACCGCTCCGGCAGGAAGGTAACGGCGCTCCATGTGGAGGTGTCTACGCACAACGCTGGCTCTTCGGCTTAGAAATGGAGATGAGCACCACACCCCAGAGTCAGACATGACTGGACTTAATGTCAGGGGACTACCTTTACCTTTACCTTAACCTTTTGGGAAGTATGATCTTCCTTGAGTGAATCTTCTCCTTCGTGGCAAATATCCACTAGTATTCACGCAAGGCAGATTCGGTTTCTCAGTTGTTAGACTGATACGCCTGGTTATATTGCTAAAAAATAATAATATTTCTATGGTGTCACTGTTTCCATGGTGAAAACCTGCCAGAATGTTGTTGTTGTTGTTATTTATACCCTGCTATATCTCCCCGAAGGGGACTCAAAGCGAATGTTCAACTCCCTTTCCACATTTTTGGAGACCTAAAAACATCAATTTCTGATCTCAGGTTTGCATGGAGCTTATCTTTGATTCTTTGTTTTCTCTTTCTTTTTGTGTCTTTTTTTTTTTCCTATTTCAAAGACGGAGTGGAAATTGGGACGCAGAAGCTCCCTTTCTTCTTGCAGTGCCTTCCGTGGGGCAGAAGGAGACCGCAGAGAAAAGGGCAATTGGAGACAACCGCAAACAAGGTCAACGAAGGTAATGTTGGAGCTCAGCCTGTGATTGTGTTCCAGGATGAGGGTGCTTTGGGTGTGGGGAGTCATGTCAATGAGTTTCAAGATGACAGTGGTTTGGTCAGTGATATTGATGCAGAAAATGACCAGGAGATCCCTGTTCAAAGTGTAGCTTCCCATGAGAATGTCCCTGAGGGGTGTGGGGATGATGGTGTGCTTTCTGAATTATTACCAGAGAGTTCCCATTGACTGGCTTGTGCCAGAGTCTTTGCAGTTTCGATCTTTAAATCCTCATATCGTGTCAGCTTTTCCAGTTGTTTTTCTTTAATCCTGCTGTTGCCGGGGATTGCAACATCGACAATCCATACGTGAGGTCAGGAGTATTGTGCTCCAGAACTCTGTCTGTCTGAATTATTATTATTATTATTATTATTATTATTATTATTATTATTATTATTATTGCTTAACAAGTGTATTTAATAATTGTGAATGTGTATCAATCACTGCTTTGATTTGCAGACAACACTGTGTGTATATTGATAATATCCTAATAATGCAATAATGCAAGTTGATATTGATCACTGCTCTGCTCTGCACCTGAAAGTTAGTTTCTAGTTAGCCTTCGAGAAGGGCCAGCTTGACCCAGCATGGAACTTCAAAGGAACAGATTTAGTGAGTTGTTTTCCTAAGACTTCAAAGCTAAGGCCGAACAGGGCATAGGGTTACAGCCTGTGTTGGATGGGGCCGCACTCCCCCTGAAGACGCAGGTTCGCAGCTTGGGTGTGACCCTGGACTCATCGCTGAGCCTGGAACCCCAGGTTTCGGCGGTGACCAGGGGAGCATTTGCACAGCTAAAGCTTGTGTGCCAGCTGCGCCCGTACCTTGGGAAGTCTGACTTGGCCACGGTAGTCCACGCTCTGGTTACATCCCGTTTAGACTACTGCAACGCTCTCTACGTGGGGTTGCCTTTGAAGACAGCTCGGAAGCTCCAACTAGTCCAACGCTCGGCAGCCATGATTTTAACAAGAGCGGAGCGCAGGGAGCATACAACCCCCCTGTTGCGCCAACTCCACTGGCTACCGATCTGCTACCGGGCTGAATTCAAAGTGCTGGCGTTGGCCTTTAAAGCCCTAAACGGTTCCGGCCCAAGCTACCTATCTGACCGCATCTCTGCCTATGAACCCACCAGGACTTTGAGATCTTCCGGGAGACCCTGCTCTCGATCCCGCCTGCTTCTCAAGCTTGGCTGGCGGGGACGAGAGATAGGGCCTTCTCGGTGGTGGCTCCTCGGCTGTGGAACGCCCTTCCTACGGACATTAGACTAGCACCATCTCTAATGGTATTCCGCAAAAAGGTGAAGACCTGGATGTTTGTGCAGGCGTTTGAGTAATTTAGTGCAATCTGGTAATGGAATATAGGAATGGAACAATGGACGACGAACCTGGACTACGCTTGGATGATGAGAAGATTGGGTACAGTTGTTTTTTGTAATAATTGTGCATTGTAATTGCTTACTGGTAATTTATGGATAATGTGTTAAGTCAATTGTTATATGTTGTATGGAACCACTGCTGTTTCTACTGTTTCTACTGTTTGTGAACCGCTGTGAGTCGCCTTCGGGCTTGAGATACAGCGGTATATAAGCAAAGTAAATAAATAATAAATAAATAAATAAATAAAATTACCAGTATAAAAAAACCTCTGAAATTAAGACAGGAAATAAAGAACAACACTCAGAAAACAGGGGAATTCCAGATCGGAAACAATCAGGGCCAGCTAACACCTCCTAGCAAAGGATTCCCCCAGGCAGGAAGGAGACAGGCTTTGAAGCTGCAAGGCTATTCAAGGTGGCCAATTGCAACATTCACGCTTGCCTCCAACAGACAAGAGTTCTTCCCCCCACCCTGGACATTATTCCACAGATATATAAACCCACTTGCCTAGTTTCCAACAGACCTCACAACCTCTGAGGATGCCTGCCATAGATTGCACCCAGTGGTGATCGACACACTGGGTGCAGTGCCTAAAGACCTTGGCCTGCCCTTAAACACAATCGGTGCTAACAAAATTACAATCTGCCAGCTGCAGAAGGCCACCTTACTGGGATCTGCACGCATTATTCACTACATCACACAGTCCTAGACACTTGGGAAGTGTCCGACATGTGATCCAATACAACAGCCATCAGAGTGATCTTGTCTGCTGTGGACTCATCTTGTTGTGTTTCAAATAATAATAATAATAATAATAATAATAATAATAATAATAATAATAATAATAACAATGACAACAACAACAACTTTATTTTTATACCAAGCCAGCCATCTCCCCAAGGGGACTCGGGGTGGCTTACAAGGGACAAGCCCAAAAATTACAAATAGAACTCTCAATTAAAAATATCAAATAAAATATAAAAAACAAACACAATTGTAAACAATGTCAAACAATATGGCTGAGAAAACATAGCTGAGGTTCATAGAATCATAGAATCAAAGAGTTGGAAGAGACCTCATGGGCCATCCAGTCCAACCCTCTGCCAAGAAGCAGGAATATTGCATTCAAATCACCCCTGACAGATGGCCATCCAGCCTCTGTTTAAAAGCTTCCAAAGAAGGAGCCTCCACCACACTCCAGGGGCAGAGAGTTCCACTGCTGAACGGCTCTCACAGTCAGGAAGTTCTTCCTCATGTTCAGATGGAATCTCCTCTCTTGTAGTTTGAAGCCATTGCTCCATTGCGTCCTAGTCTCCAGGGAAGCAGAAAACAAGCTTGCTCCCTCCTCCCTGTGGCTTCCTCTCACATATTTATACATGGCTATCATATCTCCTCTCAGCCTTCTCTTCTTCAGGCTAAACATGCCCAGCTCCTTAAGCACTCCTCATAGGGCTTGTTCTCCAGATCCTTGATCATTTTAGTCGCCCTCCTCTGGACACATTCCAGCTTGTCAATATCTCTCTTGAATTGTGGTGCCCAGAATTGGACACAATATTCCAGGTGTGGTCTAACCAAAGCAGAATAGAGGGGTAGCATTACTTCCTTAGATCTAGACACTATGCTCCTATTGATGCAGGCCAAAATCCCATTGGCTTTTTTTGCCACCACATCACATTCCTGGCTCATATTTAACTTGTTGTCCACGAGGACTCCAAGATCTTTTTCACACGTACTGCTCTCGAGCCAGGCCGCATCGTCCCCATTCTGTATCCCTGCATTTTGTTTTTTCTGCCTCAGTGGAGTATCTTGCATTTGTCCTTATTGAACTTCATTTTGTTAGTTTTGGCCATTCATCTCTCTAATCTGTCAAGATCGTTTTGAATCCTGCTCCTGTCCTCTGGAGTTTGGATGGCTATCCCTCCCAATTTGGTGTCATCTGCAAACTTGATGATCCTGCCTTCTAACCCTTCATCTAAGTCATTAATAAAGATGTTGAACAGGACCGGGCCCAGGACGGAACCCTGCGGCACTCCACTTGTCACTTCTTTCCAAGATGAAGAGGAAGCATTAGTGAGCACATTAGTGAGGTTCAGGCTTCATGAGTGCAATACATCCTAAAGAGGAGTGCAAGGAAAGTGCAACAATCAGTTATCATTAGCAAATATCACAGAAATTATTATTAGTAAATACTGTGAAGCAAATAGTTCAGATTTCAATTATTATAACCTATGTCTCTTCATTACTTTCAATAGTAATCTACTTTGAGTCCCCTTTGGGAGAGAGAAAGCAGGATATAAATAAACATAAACATAAACATAATAATAATAATAACAAAAACAACAACAAACCTCATACAAAGTTGAGTCTTGCTTAAAAGAGGGAAGCAGGGCATAAACAAATATGACAACAACAACGGAGCCCGTGATCCTGCTGCCAGCACATTCCACTCTTATGGGGATTCTGGGCACTGCATCCCAAAGAAAATCCACTTATCCCAAGCTCTGTATTCCTGATAGTCTTGTCTTACATCAATGTTCTTTTTTTATTTACCCCAAAATAGATGCCTCTGAAGATGCAGAAGAAGTCGTGGCTTTGACTAACATGGCGCCCAACGGGATTTGTGAAGACGCCTGTGGAAAGGGTGGCATTTAGCATCCCTTCCTTCTGAAAGTAATAGGATTTGGGACTGGGAATTCCACTGTACCTTTGAGAGACGGAGCAATGATGCCCTTCTCCCGCTTTGTTTGATCCCGGACGCCAAAGCAATTCAAGAAGGAGATGGTCAAGCTGGAAAGTGTCCAGAGAAGGGCCACCAAAATGATCAAAGATCTGACAGCTATGAATCCCTTTGAGGAGGGGCTTAGGGAGCTGGGAATGTTTAGCTTGGAGAAGAGAAGAGGACACAGAGCCGTGTTTAAATATCAGAAAGTGCATCACATTGAGGAGAAGGGGCCAAGCTTCTATTCGGCTGCTCCAAAGACTAGGACACAATGGAACAGCAGCTTCACATTTCAGGAAAAGACATTCCACCCAAACGTTAAGAAGAAATCCTGATGGTATGAACTACTTGATGGGAGTAAGCTGGGGAGTCTCTTGCAACTCTAACCCGGTTACGATTCCTAAAGATGGGTGATCTCTTTGCATCAGTGCCCCCAAAACCTAGAAGACAGCCTTTGAAGTGCCATCGTTGAATCATAACTCATTGTGTGGATCAAATCAAATCTGATGTATGTTATTATAATTTTGTAAATTGTCTGTCTTATTAAATAATATGTGCTTTCAAATGTGCAATAAGGGTGGGAAGCATCTTTGGGTTGGGTCCTTGCGTTTGGAAAAAGAAAAGGAGGAGACATTTTCAAAATGTTATCTCTGTTTTGGACCTTTTCACCACTGGATTCAGGGAGAATTGCCTTTGAGGATATGGGAACCAGTGTGGCGATGAAATGGCAGGGAAGAGGTTTGAGGAAAAGAGACAAAAGAGAGTTCCTGAAGTCTGCAAAAGTACGGTTTATTCTTGGTTGGCGCCAACCGGATATGGACCCTGCTGGTATTCCAGAAAGACAGGGTGATGAACAAAGGAATTGCTTTGGTTTATATACCCTTTATAATCATATGCATACATCATACAAGCATCACAATGTGCGTCACAAAATTCCACTTTTACATTGTCTTCAATAGCATATTTTTTACCTTCAACACCTTTAATATTCCATTAAGTACCTTTATCTAAAGAGTTGCTATTAAAGGACCATCCTGTACCCCATAGTGCCAGAGTGTCTCCCACCGGCTACTGATAGCAAGAGCTTACATCCATCTTGAGATAAGACCTTCCTGGTACCAAGAAGCCTCTTGATGACAAGGCTTCATCATTAATCTTATGACAAGCTTCTTGGTACGGTATGGGTCTCCTGATATTTGCCAGAAGCCTTAGACCCTGGCCTCTTTCTGGCATCCAATTTGCAGCTTTTAAGAAGAGCATATTTTCCCATGCATCCTTTGTGATTTCACATATATTTTCTAATTCCTATTTCTAATATGGTTACATCCAATATATGTATTATGTATTTTCATCATGCCTTCATCAACATAATGGTTTGAGTGTTGGATTGTGACTGGAGATAAGAGTCCGAATCACCAATCGACTAGCCATGGAAATCAACTGGATGGCCCTGGTGGGTCACACACTCTCAGCTTCTGAAAAACCCAGTGTTAGGACCACCACAAGTCAGAAACAACTTGGGAGGCACATAGTCAATGGCCACCTTTGAGGGCCACTTGTGACAAACTGAGCATGCATTCGTTCACTTCTTGGGTTGCTGTGAGTGTTTTGGGCTGTATGGCCATATTTCGATAGCATTCTCTCCTGACATTTTGCCTGCATCTGTGGCAAGCATCCTCAGAGATTCTGTTAGAAGTGAAGCAAGTGGACTGTATATATATCTGTGGAATAATACCCAGGGTGGGAGAAAGAACCCGTGTCTGTTTGAAGCAAGTGTGAATATTGCAATTAGCAAACTTGAATAGCATTGAGTAGCCATGAAGCTGCAAAGTCAATCAGTGAGGGTATCTGCATAGAGATAGCCTGGCCTCTGTTGCCTGGAGGCATCCTCTGTTTGGGAGGTGTTAGCTGTCTTGATTCTGCTAGAAGGTATGATCATCAAGTTTGCAGACGACACCAAATTGGGAGGGAGAGCCAATACTCCAGAGGACAGGAGCAGGATTCAAAACGATCTTGACAGATTAGAGAGATGGGCCAAAACTAACAAAATGAAGTTCAACAGGGACAAATGCAAGATACTCCACTTTGGCAGAAAAAATGAAATGCAAAGTACAGAATGGGGGACAATGCCTGGCTCAAGAGCAGGACGTGTGAAAAAGATCTTGGAGTCCTCGTGGACAACAAGTTAAACATGAGCCAACAATGTGATGTGGCGGCAAAAAAAGCCAATGGGATTTTGGCCTGCATCAATAGGAGCCTAGTGTCTAGATCTAGGGAAGTCATGCTACCCCTCTATTTCGCTTTGGTTAGAACACACGTGGAATATTGTGTCCAATTCTGGGCACCACAATTCAAGAGAGATATTGACAAGCTGGAATGTGTCCAGAGGAGGGCGACTAAAATGATCAAGGGTCTGGAGAACAAGCCCTATGAGGAGCGGCTTAAAGAGCTGGGCATGTTTAGCCTGAAGAAGAGAAGGATGAGAGGAGATATGATGAGGGCTATGGATAAATACGTGAGAGGAAGCCACAAGGAGGAGGGGAACAGGTTTCCTTTCTGCTTCCCTGGAGACTAGGACGCAATGGAACAATGGCTTCAAACTACAAGAGAGGAGATTCCATCTGAACAGGAGGAAGAACTTCCTGACTGTGAGAGCCGTTCAGCAGTGGAACTCTCTGCCCCGGAGTGTGGTGGAGGCTCCTTCTTTGGAAGCTTTTAAGCAGAGGCTGGGTGGCCATCTGTCAGGGGTGATTTGAATGCAATATTCCTGCTTCTTGGCAGAATGGGGTTGGACTGGATGGCCCATGAGGTCTCTTCCAACTCTTTGATTCTATGATTCTATGCTGTTTTTTTTAATACTGGTAAACACGACTAGACTTAATGTCAGGGGAAACCTTTACTTTAACCAGATTTTTTTCAATTTCATGGCTTCCTCCTTTCTGTTGAAATTGTCCTCATGCTTCTTATGGATTTCCATGGCTTCTCTGTGTAGTCTGACATGGTGGTTGTGAGAGCGGTCCAACATTTCTATGTTCCCAAATAATCTGCTGTGTCCAGGTTGGTTCATCAGGTGCTCTGCTATGGATGACTTCTCTGGTTTAATTGGTCTGCAGTGCCTTTCATGTTCTTTGAGAATATTATTTGAGAATATTGTTTGCTAACTGCAATGTTTACACTTGTTTCAAACAGACGTTCTTTCTCCCACCCTGGGCATTATTCCACAGGTAAATATACACTCCACTTCTCTCACTGCCAACAGAACTTCAGAAGATGCCAGCCACAGATGCAGGCGAAACATCAGGAGAGAATGCTACAGGGATGTGGCCATAGAGCCCAAAAAACTCACAGCAACACAGTGATTCCGGCCATGGAAGCCGTCAACAACACAGTTCACTTTCTGATTAATGTCTCAGAAAGTTGGAATAGATGCCAGTCCCAACCCCATTATACCATGCAGCAAGACACAACCAAATCCCTCCTACCAGATGGCCATCTAGACTCTGTTTCATTCCTGCTTAAGGGGTATTCAGTTTGAAACATAGAATCATAGAGTTGGAAGAGATCCCCATGGGCCAGCAAGTCCATCCCCATTCTGCCAGGCAGGAAGGCACCACCCAAGCCTTCCTGACAGATGGCCATTCAGTTGAAAACCCCCCAGAAAAGGAGACTCAATTGAACTCCCAAGCACTTATTTCAAACTACAATATGATTATGCAAATTGACTTTTTATTATTGTTGTGCCATCACAATGACACAAAGTGCCTCTGCAAACCTACCTTTACAAAGAGGAATTTGTGTGACTCCATCTACACTGTCTTAATGCAGTTTGATGCCACTTTGACTGTCATGAAATCCTGGGATTTGCAGTTTAGCCTTCCCTGCCAATAGTGCTGGTGTCCCATCAAACTACAAATCCCATGATTCCATAGCGTTGGGCTATGGCAGTTAAAAGTGTCAAACTGCGTTGATTTTACAGTGTAGATAGGAGCCTATGTTGTGCATGCTACCATATGTTCAATTATTATTATGATGTATATTATTATTATGTTTATTCTCTCTATATGGAGACTCAAAACGGTGGACAATTAAAAGCATTACGATACAACTTAAAATATACAAATATTAAAACAGTAATAAACATCATCAATATTAAAAACCATAAAAGCACACAAAACCATATGGCTAAGAACAACTGACTCTTGACGTGCAACAATGCTTGAATGTCCAAAAAGAGGAAACAAGGAAAGATGGGTTAATGATTCCCCCAAACAATGCTAGTTTGCAATCAACGCAAACATTGCGCAATGCCCCTCCCCTTCAAAAGACAAGGAAACCTGGGTAAACAAACATTGCACTGCTGTCCAGGGCAAAGGGAATAAGGGTGATCATCATGATTTAATGCGAGGTTCCATCCTTGCAGAGCCAAGAGTTGCAAGCATGGCTTAAAGTGGGTTGCTGTGAGTTTCCAGGCTGTCTGGCCATTTATTTATCGTGTCAGGGACAACCAAACCATTGTATTACATTTCTAACAGAACAAAACAAACAAACAGATAAAGAAACACACAAAGTTTGCAAGCTTGGTAGTTGATTAGATGTCCTTTGACCACTTGGAGTGCCTCTGGTGTTGCCGCAAGGAGGTCCTCCATTGTGCATGTGGCGGGGCTCAGGTTGCATTGTAGCAGGTGGTCAGTGGTTATATGACGATCACAACCAGACACAGTGAAGACATCTGCCCTTTGCGCTGTGCTACTCTGCTGCGTATGCATGCCCAGTGTGGAACACAGCTCACCACGCTAAAACAGTAGATGTGGCTCTTAATGAGACATGCCATTATCACGGGGTGTCTGCGCCCTACACCACTGAAGAAATTACACTGCTTAGCCGGTATTGCACCACCTGACATCCGCCGGAAGTAGCAGCCAATAGTGAAAGGACCAAGGCAGAGACATCTCCAGCTCATCTGTTTGGGTATCAGCCAGCACGTCAACGACTTAAATCTAGAAATAGTTTTCTAAGATCTACAGAGACACTCGCTGGAACACCTCAGCAAGCGAGAGTCCAAAAGTGGCAGCTCAAACCCAGAACCTCAACCAATGGCTGATACCAGATGAGAGACTCCCCCCTGGGCACACAGAGGACTGGGAGACTTGGAAGGCGCTGAACAGACTGCGCTCTGGCACCACGAGATGCAGAGCCAACTTTCAGAAATGGGCACAAAGTGGAATCCACGACATGCGAGTGTGGAGAAGAGCAAACCACTGACCACCTGCTGCAATGCAACCTGAGCCCTGCCACATGCACAAGGGAGGACCTCCTTGCGGCAACACCAGAGGCACTCCAAGTGGCCAGATACTGGTCAAAGGACATTTAATAGAATACCAAGCTGGCAAACTCTGTTTTGTGTGATTGTTTTGTTCTGTTAGAAATGTAATACAATTGACTGGTTGCCCTGGCACAACAAATAAAGTGGTTTGCTCTTCTCCAGAGTAGCATAGCGCAAGGGCAGATGTCTTCACTGTGTCTGGTTGTGATCCCCAGGTTGTGCCAGTCAGCTTTCGTATGATATTGTTTCTGGCTCCTACTTTTTGCTTGATGTTCAGGCAGTGCTTCTTGTAGGTCAGAGCATGGTCCAGAGTGACTCCCAGGTATTTGGGTGCGCTACAATGCTCCAGTGGGATTCCTTCCCAGGTGATCTTCAGAGCTCTGGATGCTTGTCTGTTCTTGAGATGAAAGGCACATGTCTGTGTTTTAGATGGGTTGGGGATCAGCTGGTTTTCCCTGTAATAGGCAGTAAGAGCACCTAGAGCTTCGGAGAGCTTCTGTTCGACCATCTCAAAGCTCCCTGCTTGAGCGGTGATGACACGATCATCAGCATGTCTGGCCATGTTCCAGGAGCATTCTTTCCTGACGTTTCGCCCACATCTATGGCAGGCATCCTCAGAGGTTGTGACATCTCTTGGAAACTAAGCAAGTAAATAAAGACCCACATTCAAAAACAGGGGAACTCCAGACAAAAAACAATCAGGAACAGCTAATCACCTCCCCAGGCAATAACAAGCCACACCTAAAAATTGTTAAATGCTAATCAAGGTGGCCAACATTCACCCCTACCTCCAACAGACAAGAGTTCTTTCTCCCACCCTGGACATTATTCCACAGATATATAGAACCCCATTTTCCTTGGTTTCCAACAGACTTCACAACCTCTGGGGATGCCTGCCAAAGATGCGTCAGGAGAAAATGCTTCTGGAACATGCCCGGAAAACTTGTTGTTGTTCATTCGTTCAGTCGTCTCCGACTCTTCGTGACCTCATGGACCAGCCCAGGCCAGAGCTCCCTGTCGGCCGTCGCCACCCCCAGCTCCTTCAAGGTCAATCCAGTCACTTCAAGGATGCCATCCATCCATCTTGCCCTTGGTCGGCCCCTCTTCCTTTTGCCTTCCACTTTACCCAGCATCATTGTCTTCTCTAGGCTTTCTGTCTCCTCATGATGTGGCCAAAGTACTTCAACTTTGTCTCTAGTATCCTTCCCTCCAATGAGCAGTCGGGCTTTATTTCCTGGAGGATGGACTGGTTGGATCTTCTCGCAGTCCAAGGCACTCTCAGAACTTTCCTCCAACACCACAGCTCAAAAGCATCTCTCTTCCTTCGCTCAGCCTTCCCGAAGGTCCAGCTCTCACATCCGTAGGTGACTACAGGGAAGACCATGGCTTTGACTAGGCAATGGATCTTGGTTGCCAGTCTGATGTCTCTGCTCTTTACTATTTTATTGAGATTGGTCCTTGCTCTCCTCCCAAGAAGGAAGCGTTTCCTGATTTTCTGGCCACAGTCTGCATCTGCACTCATCTTTGCGCCTAGAAATACAAAGTCTGTCACGGCCACCACGAAATGCAAAGATACAGAATGGGGGACAATGCCTCGCTCGAGAGCAGTACGTGTGAAAAAGATGTTGGAGTCCTCGTGGACAACAAGTTAAACATGAGCCAACAATGTGATGTGGCGGCAAAAAAAGCCAATGGGATTTTGGCCTGCATCAATAGGAGCATAGTGTCTAGATCTAGGGAAGTCATGCTACCCCTCTATTCTGGGTTAGACCACACCTGGAATAGTGTGTCCAATTCTGGGCACCACAATTCAAGAGAGATATTGACAAGCTGGAATGTGTCCAGAGGAGGGCGACTAAAATGATCAAGGGTCTGGAGAACAAGCCCTATGAGGAGCGGCTTGAGGAGCTGGGCATGTTTAGCCTGAAGAAGAGAAGGCTGAGAGGAGATATGATAGCCATGTATAAATATGTGAGAGGAAGCCACAGGGAGGAGGGAGCAAGCTTGTTTTCTGCTTCCCTGGAGACTAGGACGCGAAAAGAATGGCTTCAAACTACAAGAAAGGAGATTCCATCTGAACATGAGGAAGAACTTCCTGACTGTGAGAGCCGTTCAGCAGTGGAACTCTCTGCCCCGGAGTGTGGTGGAAACTCCTTCTTTGGAAGCTTTTAAACAGAGGCTGGATGGCCATCTGTCAGGGGTGATCTGAATGCAATATTCCTGTTTCTTGGCAGAATGGGGTTGGACTGGATGGCCCATGAGGTCTCTTCCAACTCTTGGATTCTATGATTCTCCATTATCCAGCAATATGGTCTCTCGTTCCTCTGCCTTTTCTAAACCCAGCTTGAGCATCTGGCAACTCTCTGAAAACTTACAGCAACCCAATTCCTCCACTGTCTTATTTTCCTACTTTCAAACAGGCGATTGCAATAGACACACCCACTCCACCTCGCTCCTGACCCCCCCCCGCCCTTCGGTTGCTAAGGCGACGGGGGCCTAATGCTGTGGAGAGGATGGGGCGCGCTTAAGGCGTCACTTCCGGGTGCGTCAGAGGTGGCGACGGAAGCGGCGAATGAGCTTGGTCACGGGCTGAGGCGGCAGGAAAGCAAGCGGCTCCCGGATTCCCTCCTTCGCTTGGAAAGAACCCAAGAGGCGGCGGCGCCATGATCACCTCCGCAGGTGAGCGGGCCTCTCCTCAGGGGGAGAAGCCGAGGCGGAGGCGGGGGTGTTCTGCAGAGTCAGGCAGGCCGAGACCCGGCGCCCCTTCCCCTCGCAGGCCGCACCGCTTGGCCTGGCCATTCTTCCTTCCCTTTTTCTCTATTCCTTTTCCTTCCCTTCTTTGTCTGTCTTCCCTGCTCTCTTTGGAGGCTTCCTTTGGAAACCTTGGGGAAGGTCATTTCATTCAAGCGTGTCTTAGAATCGGAGAAAGGCTGTAAATTCTTTATATTGAGACTCGTGCACCAACTGCGACCGTACCTCGCGAAGGCTGATCTGGCCGGGGTGGTCCATGCCTTGGTCACCTCTAGATTGGACTACTGCAATGCGCTCTACGTGGGGCTGCCCTTGAAAACGGCTCGGAAATTCCAACTGGTCCAACGAGCAGCAGCCAGGATGTTAACCGGTGCTCCTTACAGAGAGAGGTCAACCCTCCTGTTCAAGGAGCTCCACTGGCTGCCGTTTATCTTCCGAGCCCAATTTAAGGTGCAGGTGCTTACCTACAAAGCCCTGAACGGTTTGGGACCAGCCTACCTGCGTGACCGCATCTCCGTCTACGAACCCACGCGTTCACTTCGGTCATCTGGAAAGGCCCTGCTCGTGATCCCGCCTGTGTCGCAAGCACGTTTGGTGGGGACACAAGACAGGGTCTTTTTTGTGGTGGCCCCCGACTCTGGAACACCCTCCCCAAAGATCTTAGACAGGCCCCTACACTGGCAGTCTTCAGAAAGAACTTGAAGACCTGGCTGTTCTGATGTGCCTTCCCAGAATAGGAAATCTCCAATACCAAGTCCCAGAAGAACTTTATCGGAACTAAGATTGCCGCACACCGCACACTGCACTTACCCTATAAGCCTTATATACCACTTGTCACATCACCACTTTTAATCCTGTACCCATTACTCTGGTCCAGCCCAGTTTTATTGTGTCTTGATGTATTGTTTATTGTTGTTGTTTTAATATTGCTTTAACTGTTTTTAATTTGCTTTAGGTGTTGTATTGTTATGTTGTCCTTTAAAGTCAAGCCAGTCACTTCAAGGATACCATCCATCTATTTTGCCCTTGGGTGGCCCCTCTTGGTTGGCCCCCTATTTCCTTCTATTTTTCCCAGCATCTTCTCCAAGCTTTCCTGTCTTCTCATGATGTGGCCAAAGAATGTTCATCTTTGCCTCTCATATCCATCCCTTCAGGTGAAGGGACCCTATCCAGTCATATTTCTTTACTTACTTCATTTACTTACTTCTTTACTTACTTCATTTTTACCCCGTTCTATCTCCATCCAGAAGGGGGCTCAGGGCAGCTTTTGTTGTTGTTATTTATTCATTCAGTCACTTCTGACTCTTGGTGCCCTCCTGGTCCAGCCCAGGTCAGAGCTCCCTGTTGGCCATCACCACCCCCAGTTATTATTATTATTATTATTATTATTATTATTATTATTATTATTATTAAGTTGAGTTCCTTCAGACTCAAGCCAGTAACTTCAAACATACCATCCATCCATCTTGCCCTTGGTCGGCCCCCTCTTCTTTTTTCCTTCCATTTTCCCCAGCATCATACTCTTCTCTAAGCTTTCCTTTTTTCTCATGATGTGGCCAAAGTACATCATCTTGGCCTCTAGTATCCTTCCCTCCAATGAGCAGTCAGGCTTTATTTCCTGAAGTATGGACTGGTTGGATCTTCTCGCAGTTCAAGGCACTCTCAGAATTTTCCTCCAACACCACAGTTCAAAAGCGCCTCTCTTCCTTCCCTCAGCCTTCCTTATGGTCCAGTTCTCGCATCCATAGGTTACTAATCTATTTAAATAAACTGTTAAAAGCACTGCACCTAATCCCACAATGATAGTCCAAGCCAATTTGTTTATATTAATTCCGTGGTTGTATATTGCACTGTGATTGGGCTGGGCTTTTGCACAGCTGGTTAATCACCATCACCAGCAGCAATTGATCACACCAATTGAAAGGTTAGCAGTTCAAAGCCAGGGTCAGGAAGCACCTGACCTTCAGCCCAGCTCACTGTCCACCAACTCACAGCTATGAGCTGTGAGTAGAGAAATTAGGCACCACTTAAGCAGGGAGGCATTTTATGGCACCATAAAAGAAGTACCAGAAAAATGCTGGCAATTAAAGGAAGAAAAAGGAAGTCTGTGCTCAAGGGCTCTTTGTCATAGAGCAGTGGTTCTCAACCTCTAGGTCACTGAGAGCACGGCCTCCTCAGAAGAACCTAACATCTGTCCTGGTTCATAGTGAGAGATATGTTCGCTCAGAAAGAATTCCGACAGGTGAATGAGCTGTCCAAATTTAAAATCTATGTAAAAACTGTCTCTTCCGCCAGGCCTACCCAGGCAGTCTTTAAACATGAATTTTAAGAGTCCTTTGTTTGATCTTTGTTTTGTGTGTTTTGGTATGTATTTTGTAGAGATATACTTTGGTGTTCCACTTTTATGGAGGTATGTTTTAGTGTGTGTATTTGTGTGTGTCTCTACCCATGAGGAGTGGGTAAGTATTATTATTATTATTATTATTATTATTATATGCCAAACAGAGATTATGATAATGATGATGATTATTATAATAAAGACTTGGGATAGAAGGCAGGAGGGTTGTTTCTGAGTTATTGTGATTCTGAGGGAAGCCTATCGTGGGCTTTTTTTGGGAAGATTTGTCCAGAGGTGGCTGCCTTTGGGACTTGCCCAGGGTCAAGCAGTGGGTTTCCATGGCTGAGCAGGAATGAGAACTGTGGTCTCCACGGTCCAAAGCTCCAGTCCCTACAACAGACATAAGCAAACTTCAGCCTTCCTTCCCAGTGTCAGGCACCAGCCCTCTCTGGCAAAGAAATCCTAATACCTTGCAAAGCCATACATCCTATGTTTCCATAGCATTGAGCCATGGCATTTAAAGCGGTCAAAATGCCTTAATTCTTCATTGTTGATCAACCCTTTTACCCAAGTATGTATGGTAATAAAGATCAATAATATAATATCTGGATGGCTTCTGGTTCTAAATTTCATAGCCACATTTCCTAACCATAATGTTTATTTTACTGGATTATTTTCTTGTTATTTTATAGCTGGAATTATTTCCCTTCTGGATGAGGAAGAGCCAGAACTCAAGGTAAGCTTGCAGGCTTTGCTTTTGGTTTAGGAACAACAGATAATTAGAGCTTCTAATTGTTCATTATTTCTTCACTGTTTTCCAGAAACAGTAATGGAATTTGTTTGATATGAACACATTGTTTAATATGATACTCAGATATTGCAGATCTGGTCGATCTTTCTTAAGATCTAATGGCAGAAAATAGATTTGAATGGGTGCACCTAATTTTTGCTGTATGAAGTGTATTATAATAACTACTACAAATCCTTTGTTGATATGCATTTTCCATAATTTACATAATGAGATCACGCAAAACAGAATGTCAACTCTAGAATAGAATCCATAGCCAAAACAAGATTGAATACTGGTGGGCTCATATAATGGCCATTGGGGTGAGTCTTTAAACCTTAAACTGTTGATGGCCACACTCTAGATGTTTTGGATTACAACTCCCACCAATCTCTCATCATTGATGGTGGTGGCTGGGGCTGATGGGAGCTGTAGGACAATAACAGCTGCATGACCAAGGAATCACAATACAGCTTTAGGGCAGCATATGAAGAAACGGTTGCTTTCAGTATGTGGCTAGGGGTCCTTCCAGACAGGTCCTATATCCCGGGATCTGATCCCGGGTTTTCTGCTTTAAACTGGATTATATGAGTCCACACTGCCAGATAATCTGGAATATAGGGCCTATCTGGAAGGGCCCTAGGTCAAAGGAAAAGGAGGTGTCTGGCTTTGGCCTACTTTGCCACATAGAAATTACTTTTGGAAGAAGATAATATTTGTAAGTTTCTTTTAGAAAGAATATGGGAGAGGAGCCTGGAAGGAGGCATGAAATACCGCTCATATGCCCTTGCAGTGCTCTTATTTCCCTGTAGCAAAGTTTGCCTTGTATTTTTAACAGTCTGGGTGCTTAAATCAAGGATGAGAAACTGGCTGCTCTACATATATTGTTGGATTGCAGTTTATATCACTTATCACAGAAGTTGTACTGAATAGGGCTAATGGGACTTGAAATTCAAGGATATTCAGAGGGACATACATTTCCCCACTTTGGAACCAGATATTTTTGTTTTTTCCGCATTATTTATCAAGTAACCTGCTTTTGGTTGTGACTTTTTGTTGATCTAGGTCTTGAGTAGGCAAATGTGATGGAGTCGGTTTTCTCCCTTATGGCAAGCCGAATTGCTTCAGGTTTTGTAAAAATGTGACCTGGAAATTTTCTTGTAATTTGAACTTCTAGGTTTTTAGATCAGGTTATAGCATTTTAATGAAGTTTTGGGTATCTTGTTGAAAGGTCATTTTGATGCGTACTATTACTGAATACTTTTTCATCTGAAAAATCTTCAATTATGGAGAAGCAGTGGAAGGGCTCAAATGGATGTGCGCTATGACAGAAATCACACATGGTCTACACACATGTTCTTCTCATTCTGAGCAATATGTGTCAGAATACATTGCTCTGAAATTCACCTTTGAGATGTCCATTCATTTTAACAATTTGCTACACTCTTGTGACTGGTTTGCATTGTTTTGCAGGAATTTGCTCTTCACAAACTGAATGCTGTTGTCAATGACTTCTGGGCTGAGATCTCCGAGTCAGTGGATAAAATGTAAGAGGCAACAGGAATGGGATCGCCAGCTGTAAATAGGAAAACGCATGTGCTATGAGTTTTGATTATCCACACATTTTATTAATATGGCCTTTCTACAATTTTTGAGGTCCTCCTGTGTACCTCTGTGTTAGTTTCCGCCAGAAGCTAGCTAAAGAGTTGTGTTGGAAAATCATGGTATTCCTAGATAAGGTTAAACTACATTGCGGCCTTCTAAGTTGTCTTTACTTTTGTGGAAGTTACATGCCCCTACCTACAGCAAATGCAGAGACCTAACTACATGCTAAAGTTAGGTTGAAATATGTAAGGTTTTTTTTGTGTGTTTGTGGAGTTAGTAAGGTACTGAGTCTTTCTTCCTGACTTTTCCTGTAGTGAAATCCTGTATGAAGATGTTGGCTTCCGGAGTCGTGAATTTGCAGCTCTGGTGGCTTCAAAGGTGTTTTATCACCTTGGAGCCTTTGAAGAGTCTCTGAACTATGCCTTGGGAGCAGGCAACCTATTCAACGTCGGTGACAATTCAGAATATGTGGAGACGATCATTGGTAAGGCCTAACAGTGTCCACCTGAGAGCATTTTATTAGGCCACCATATCTTAGCAAAGGTCAACAAACAGTCTAAAGCAGGCATGGGCAAACTTTGCTTCTCCGGGTATTTTGGACTTCAGTTCCCACAATTCCTAACAGCTGGAATTGTGAGAATTGAAGTCCAAAACACCCAGAGGCCCGAAGTTTGCCCATACCTGGTCTCAAGGAAGTTGCTGATAAAGTATCTGGTTTTGATACCTGGCCATTTGAGTTTCAGGAGGGTTGACAGAATAATTTCTGGAAATCAGAAAGTATTGCTTATTTAGGTTGGTGAGGGTTTTTGAAGGCATATATGATTTGGTTCAAAGCTTAGCTATTTTTTACTGGCAGTATTAAGAGCCAGAACTGATATGTTGATGGAAGCGAATTATTTCTACACGGAAGATAAAAGGGATATATGGATAACAGCATCTTGCTCTGAAAGACATGAAATGGATAGAGGTAACCGTGTTAGAGAAAGTATTGATCTCTCCTCTTTTGCAGACAGATTGGTATGTTTTTAAATAAACATCAGATACTAGAATTCCAGTTTTCAAAGTCAGAACCATCACAAACCTTGCATGTGATGGATTTAAGTGCACAATCTTCTAGTCAGGTTTCTTTTACTGTATTTGGTTCAGATAACATTACATTTTCTACCCAACCTATAGCATTGCCAAATTGATTTTATGATGTAAATGTTTTCAGAACATACTGTCCTTTGTGGTTGCAACTTGTCAGGTGTGACAGTATTCCTCACCAAATTGGCAGGGTGATACTTTGTGCTTCTGAGGTTACAGAAAGTCAGGTGCGTGTTTTTTCTCTCCCCAGCGAAGTGCATTGACCATTACACCAAGCAGTGTGTGGAAAATGCTGATCTGGCCGAGGGAGCAAAGAAGGCCGTCGATCCGCGGCTTGAAGGGATAGTGAACAAGATGTTCCAACGCTGTTTAGATGATCACAAGTACAAGCAAGCCATTGGGATCGCCTTGGAGACGCGCAGGCTGGATATCTTTGAGAAAACCATTTTGGAATCGGTAGGTAAAAACACAGAATGTGATCTTGATACCCATGCAGAATATTTGTCAGATCGGAAACAGGATTTCTTTCGAGCATGAAAAGGTATTGGGTTGCATATATCAAGAAATGTATATATGGTAAGACCCATGTATCTGTGGATGATACATTCCAGCCCAGACCTGAAACTGCAGATGTGACAGAATGCCACCAAATGACCCAACCTCTGACCCTGGCATGCCATAGACTTGCCCTGGAGGTGATGTCTCTTCAGGATGCATTGTTGAAGGCTTTCACGGTCAGAATCACTGGAGTGTTGTGTGGCTTCTGGGCTGTATGGCTGCGTTCTAGTAGCGTTTTCTCCTGATGTTTCACTTGCATTGGTGGCTGGCATTTTCAGATGTGTCTGTAGGAATTTTCTAGGTTTCACATTTACTGCAATTATTTTTAGCTTGTATGTCTTCACCGTGTGGGAAGGGATGCAGGATCCTTCAGCACAAAGCCCAACATAAAATAAAAAGCAGTAATAATAATTTATTTTTTATTTGTCATGTCAGGGCAACCAGTCAATTGTATTACATTTCTAACAGAACAAAACAAACAAATAGACAAAATACAAAATTTGCGAGTTTGGTAGTTGATTAAATGTCCTTTTGACCAGTAGCTGTAACAATAATAATAATAATAATAATACTTTATTTTTATACCACCCTCTCTCCCCAAGGGGACTTAGAGTGGTTTACACATAAGGAGCTGGGGGTGATGATGGCCGACAGGGAGCTCTGGTGTGGGCTGGTCCACAAGGTCATGAAGAGTCGGAAACGACTGAATGAATGAACAACAACAAAACACATAAGAAGACAGTCATTCAATGCCTAAGAAGGTACAAAACATATCAGAATACACGATAGAGCACTGTAATAAGAGTGAGTTTACCATGAAGGATTAAGCATTGAGACAAAAATATAACATAGTCAGTAGGACATAATTAACTAAAACATAAATAAACATTACAACAAATACCCTCAAAAAAGTTTAAAAGACAGTTACATTAATAATGCATTTTAAGACGTGTCTTAAAGGAGAGGTGGATAGGGGCCATTTTTATTTATTTAGGAAGGAATAAATGGGGAGATGGGGAGCGATCATGGAGAAGGCCCCCTCTCTCGTTCCCACCAACCGAGCTTGTGACGGGGTGGGACCGAGAGGAGGGCCTCCTCCGTTGACTGCACTGCCCAGGATGGTCTGAATGGGGAGATGTGATTAGACAAATAGCCTAGACCCAAACTGTTTAGGGCTTTATAGGTCTATTGTTACTCTTGATAGAAAGTAATAAAATGCTCATTGTGGCAAAATTGGTGAATGGGTTTAAGAGATACTTTCTGGGTTGTTGTAGTTTTTTCGGGCTGTATGGCCATGGTCTAGAGGCATTCTCTCCTGACGTTTCACCTGCATCTATGGCAAGCATCCTCAGAGGTAGTGAGTCTGTTGGAACTAGGAAAAAGGGTTTATATATCTGTGGAATGACCAGGGTGGACAAAGGACTCTTGTCTGCTGGAGCTAGGTGTGAATGTTTCAATTGACCACCTTGATTAGCATATAATGGCCTGACAGTGCCTGGAGCAAACTTTTGTTGAGAGGTGGTTAGATGTCCTTGTTTGTTTCCTCTCTGTTGTTGTGCTGTTCTAATTTTAGGGTTTTTTAATACTGGTAGCCAGATTTTGTTCAGCATTTTATTTGAGAACACAGAAATGCTGGACCACTCTCACAACCACCATGTCAGACTACACAGAGAAGCCATTGAAATACACAAGCATGTGGACAATTTCAACAGAAAGGAGGAAACCATGAAAATGAACAAAATCTGGCTACCAGTATTAAAAAACTCTAAAATTACAACAGCACAACAACAGAGAGGAAACAAACAAGGACATCTAATCACCTCTCAACAAAAGTTTGCTCCAGGCACTGTCAGGCCATTATATGCTAATTAAGGTGGTCAGTTGAAACATTCACACCTAGCTCCAGCAGACAAGAGTCCTTTGTCCCACCCTGGTCATTCCACAGATATATAAACCCATTTTCCTAGTTCCAACAGACCTCACTACCTCCGAGGATGCTTGCCATATATGAAGGAGAAACATCAGGAGAGAATGCCTCTAGACCATGGCCATATAGCCCGAAAAAACCTACAACAACCCAGTGATTCCAGCCATGAAAGCCTTCGACAATACATTGATACTTTCCGGATTGCAGAACAAATAACTGAAGTGAAATTGGGAATATCTTGTCCCTTACAGACTAGTTATTGATGGTTTTGGGCAGAAATAATGCTAAATATGTGGCATCATTGCTAGTAATTAATACTCTTTGACCCTTTGTTACACCACTTTTCACAATGTCACCTACTTTACATGGAGAATAATGTATTCATTAAGTTATTTTGTTTGGTAATAGTATTTTTTCCAGAAGCCAGTTTGGTGAGTTATGCTTTCAATCAGTTTTCTTGTCTTCAGGAGACAGGAGATTTGACTATGAGACTATTAGTAAATAATTGAATATTGGACAAAAATAATTGGAAGCAATTTACTTTTATTTTGTAGAATGACGTTCCTGGAATGCTGGCCTACAGCTTGAAACTCTGCATGTCCTTGATGCAGAATAAGCAATTCCGCAACCAGGTGCTGAGAGTTCTGGTGAAAATCTACATGAACCTAGAAAAACCTGACTTCATCAATGTGTGCCAGGTATGACAGTTGGGGCTTTTAGTAGTGTAAATGTGCACCTATGGCTGCAGTCTTCGTGGCAGTCAAACTCTGGGGCAGCGGGAGGGAGAAAACGTGTTGGGAATAGTGTCAGCCAGAAAATGAGACATGTTGGGGTTTTTTTTTATAATTTAAATATTTAAATATTTATTTATGTATAAAGACATATTGCCTTTCAGCATCTCCTCTATAAGTTCCCTCAAAGTGATTTATAATAATAACACAAAATACAAGAAAGAATGAGAATTAACAAACAAAGTAACCCATTGAAAACCTGGCAAAATATATATTTTCTTCACAGCAGAAAGTATTTGTGGGTGAGTGGGCTTATTAACAAAAGACCCTCCTCATAAATGTACAGCAGTATAACTTAGCAGGAGCAATGTGACCCAACATCAGTAGCCAAAAATGATAAAAAGAACAAAAACACACAGATCAATGTTGTATCTTCCTTAGGAAGTTTTTCTTTATAGCAAAACAACATGGTTGCACTATTTACAAGAATAAGGTTTCCATAACAGAAATAAAGTTATTTATACTTCCTTCTTTGCTTCCACACTGGGCTGCTTTCTCATGCATATAAACAGCTTCATTCTCACTGAGCTTCAACTTACACAAGAGTTTTACACAGTAGCTTTTTACACACAGCAGCCTTCACACTGGAGCATTACACTAGAGGCCTTCAACCTGGCACTTATCTCACCGAAGCATTCTCACACCAAGCCTCTCACTCTGAGGCCTATCTCACACTGAGATTTACCTCACACTGAGGCCTCTCTCAGACTGAAGCCTCTTCATAGTGAAAGGCAACTAACACTGAGACTGTAGCAAAATTGCTACTCTATGTTAAATTTTTGGTGTATAGCTCTATGTTTACATATGGCAGATAGGAAAGAATAGGCAACAGCAGAGATAGGATTCATTTGCATATGGAAGCCGATTGGTCATATGCAGATTAGCGTAGGCCCAGGATTTGAAAAGGCTGCTAGGCCAAAATGACAGTTGGAGAGAGAGCAGAGCTGAACATTCCAGAGGGGCGGAGCCAAAGTTTAAAAATAGGCAGTTAGAGAGTAAAAAGAGCGAGTTAGGGATTCCTGTTTGTGAGAGACAGGAACTTCTGTGAGAGAAAAGAGTTAGGAACTCCTGTTAGAAATAAGCAGTTATGAAGATGTGTTAAAGACTTCTGATATATATAGAAGCAGTTAGTTAAATAGAGCTCAAGTTTTAGGAACATAAAGAAAGCCAGTGGTGCTTTAGTCAGAATATAATTTCAGTCAAGAGTGTATAAAGCAAGTAACATGTTTGTGAATGTGAAACATTGAAAGTCTATTTCAGAAAAGTAAACCAAGTATATTATACTGACTGTAAGCCTCAAGATTGCAACAAAACACGAAATGTAACCATAAGCGTTGGAGCCAGAAGTTATAAATAAACTGTGTTACTTGGTTATTCAGAAGTGTGTCTCATTGTCTGTACAAAGGTTAAACAGCAGACAGAAAGTCCCAGCTAATATAAAAGAAGAAACTGAATCATTATAAGAGCAAAGAGGTTTTTAATAAAGAAATAGTCTCTCCCTCACTACAGAGGCCTACTAAGCTACAGGCACATGTCCTTGTATTGAACTGCAGCTTTTGCTGAGTCATTGTATCCATTTAACTCTTTCATTGCTTGACTGAGTCACCTGGGGAGACAGAGCAGTATATAAATAAAGTTTTGTTGTTGTTGTTGACTCACATTTTTGTAATTAAAAATACCTGCACAATCCTATTGATAAGGGGACTTAGGTGCACATTCAGAACCAGAATTCTAGCCACTCTCTTTGTCAAGGCCTTTGGAGCCTGCTCCTTTCTTCCTGAAATACCCATTGGTTTTTGTCTCATTCTTTATTCCTGCAGTGCCTCATCTTCTTGGATGACCCCCAGGCTGTCAGTGACATCTTGGAGAAGCTGGTGAAGGAGGACAACCTTCTCATGGCGTACCAGATCTGCTTTGACTTGTATGAAAGTGCCAGCCAGCAGTTCCTGTCTTCTGTGATTCAGAACCTACGCACCGTTGGCACCCCTATTGCCTCTGTGCCCGGTTCAACCAATACAGGGACCGTCCCTGGGTCAGAGAAAGAAAGGTAAGGCAGCCAGTTTGAGAGGCACCCAGATGAATGAGTTATGGCTTGAAATGTAAGCAGCCTAAAAAGCTGTGCTGCAATTTGGATTGCCTTGCACTGTGCAACTTAATACTATTGATGCTTTGGGTGCGTCTGCAAACTTATACCCATTTAATTGTCATGATCTTGCCCTGTCCTATTAAAGTTCTTGGAACTTATAGTTTGGTGAAAGAGCCAAGAGCTATATTCTCCAGAAAAGAAGAGGGACTGTAAAGTCCTAGGTCTATGGCAGGTTGATATAAGGAGATGTAGCCCTTCAATTATTCATCTTCCAAACCTCAGCATAAGCAGCCTTGGTGCCTCAGCAGGATTTAACTAACATTGCACTGACCACTTTCTGGCCTCAGTTTAATTTTGCTTCGTTGAGCTTGTTCAGTCTCCATCTGGTCTCTTTTTCTCAGTTTATTGTCAAAGTTAGCAATGCCTTTCCTTCTCCCTCGATGTGCCTTTTCAGTTTTCCTAAGTTGTTTTGTCAGAAAAATCAGCTGGTGAGTTTTTCCAGGCCTATATCACAGTAGGTGGAGGTGTCAAAGCCTGCTGAATCATGTCGTGACAGGAGGAGCCTGCCTGAATAGTAGATGCTATATAACAGTGGTTCTCAACCTTCCTAATGCTGTGACTCCTTAATCCAGTCCCTCATGTTGTGGTGACCCCCAACCATAATATTGTTTTCGTTGCTACTTCATAACAGTCATTTTACTACTGTTATAAATCATAATGTAAATATCAGATATGCAAGATGTATTTTCATTCACTGGACCAAACTGGGCACAGATACCCAATGCAACCACATGTAAATGCTAGTGGGGTTGGGGGAGGATTGATTTTGTAATTTGGGAGTTGTAGTTGCTGGGATTTATAGTTCACCTATAATCAAAGAGCATTCTGAACTCCACCAGTGATGGACTTGAACCTAATTTGCCACACAGAACTCCCATGACCAACGGAAAACACTGGAAGGGTTTGGTGGGTATTGATCTTGAGTTTGGGAGTTGTAGTTCACCTATATCCAGAGATCACTGTGGATCTGGACCAAACTTGGCACAAATACTCAATATGTGCAAATGTGAACACTGGTGGAGCCTGGGGAAAATAGACCTTGACTTTTGGGAGTTGTAGTTGCAGGGATTTATAGTTCATTACAATTAAAGAACATTCTGAACTCCACCAACGATAGAATTGGCTCAAACTTCCCACATGGAATCCCCATGACCACCAGAAAATACTGCGTTTTCTAATGGTCTTTGGCGACCCTTCTGACACCTCCTCGCGACCCCCTCAGGGGTCCCGACCCCCAGTTTGAGAAACACTGCTATATAAGGAGTTGTGTATCAAGAAGAAGGTGGTTTCTACTTTGTGGAAGAGTATGCCAATATAATATATAACATAATTGAATTTGATGTGGATGGCTAGGATGGTTTTAAATGATGTATTTTAATATTTTGATAAATGTTTTTTAATGTTTATGTATTGTATGTGAATTTGTGTCCTGGCATTGAATGTTTGCCATGTATATGCTGTGCTCCGCCCTGAGGTCCCTTTGGGGTGAGAAGGGCGGAATATAAATGTTTTAAATAAATAAATAATAAATAATATAAGGCCCCACAGTTTGAGCCAAGCTTCAACATTTAATTTTCTTGGTTGTGTCTGCTGACTCTTAATTACTTTTTTAAAAAAATAAATTTTATTGTGGTTTTTTAACAATATAAGTTAAAAAAAAAGACTATGAGAAGAAGAAAGAAAAAAAGGAATATAGAGAAAACAGGAAAGGAGGGAGAAGAAAGAAAGAAGAAAAAAGAAAAATACCTAATTTTTTTGTGTTGATCTTCCCAATCTTCATCTTTGTGATTATATACTGTTCCTTCTATTTTTGCTTTTCTATTTGCTCCTCTTCCATCTGATGTCTTGGAGTGGTCATTTATTTTTCCCTAAAATTATTATTGCTATCTAATAATATTGCTGACTCTTAATTACTTGAACATAAACAGAGTTGTCGTTTCACTGTCAGGTTATAGGGCAGGCATGGGCAAACTTCGGCTCTCCAGGTGATTTGGACTTCAACTCCCACATTCCGTAAGAGTCTGCTGGCTGTTAGGACTTGTGAGAGTTGAAGTCCAAAACACCTGGAGGGCCGAAGTTTGCCGATGCCTGTTTTAGGGTGACTTTTAGTCTTGTCATAAATGGTGATAGAAGCTAGAGGTGTTCTATTTATTTTCCAGTGATACTATGGAGACAGAAGAAAAAGCAAACAGTCCAGTTGCTGCAGCAAAGTCTGCCCAAGCTGTAAGTACGCTTTCAACATCCCTCTCCCCACCCCTTTGTATGCTCCAGTGGTTCTTAACCTGTGGGCCATGGACACCAGTGGGCCGCAAGGATGAAAATCTGGTCCGTAAGCCTCCTTCCTCTTTTTATTTTATTTTATTATTATTTTTTATTATTTTTTATTTCTGCTTCTTTTGTGCTGCCTGCCACTCCTTCCCTGTCACTGACGATTCATACGTTCTGTATATGAAACTAGAGCTGATGTCTACCCAATGCAATTTTCCAGGTCAGCACCCCAAACCAAATCTAACGTTGACCAAAAACCAATTTGTAACTCTTTTGGTACTAATGTTGGAGAGTGGTCCCTGGTCAAAGCGGTCCTTGGTCAAGTGGTCTCTGGTCAAAAAAAGGTTGGGAACCACTGGTATACACTAGGCTTGGGCAATCCATGGTTCTAAATGGTTCTAAAGTACTTACAAAACTATAGTTCTGGTGGTGAAAATTTCAGAACTCTAACAACACTTTCAAAATTTAATTATTATTTCATTATTGGTGATTTTAATGACAGAACCAATTAGGAACTGCCATTTATTATGAAATTTTGAGAGTTTTGTTAGAGTTCTGAAATTTTCACCACCAGAACTTTAGTTTTGTAAGTACTTTAGAACCATTTAGAACCATGGATTGCCCAAGCCTAGTATACACCATTGCATCTTACCTTGAGGCTCATTTCAACCTTAGAGCATAGTGTTAGTGCCAGCCTGGGGCCTTTAGACAAAAAGTCCCATGATTCCCAGCTAGAAAGACCAATACGGCTAAGTTGTTATAATAATTTTGAATGTATAGCTGTCAGAATATATGTGACAGGTCATTCTTAGATAACCGCCACATTCCATGGCTTGAAAAGTTACAAAGGGATAAAATGCTTTCCTTAAAAGAGTATGTATTTTCTTTCAAGGAAATACCAGCGCTGGCTTGTAAAGCTTGTGTAAAGATTTATTGCTGTTATACTGTTAAGCACATTAGTATGTTTTATAAGATTTGTGCCTCCAAGCAAGAAACAAGATAATGCCTTATTTAGCCATTAATTGCAATTATAAACATTTAAGTGGCTAAGGTTACACTTTGCAGCTGCTTTGAGGGCCATGAAGAGAAGTCATAGAGTAGAATAAGGTAAATAAAAAAGGGGAGTCTGTATTGCAAGTATGACTGATCTGCTTTTTAAAAAGGTATTCTTGCTTTTATTCCTGGTCAGCTCAGCCTCACATGGGACTCAGATGATCTCTCATCTAAACTATAATTTAATCTGGGTTTATGTAGTAGCGCCAGTAATGCTAATGCTTCAAGCCCATCAACTGAGCTGAATGTGCAGATCGGTTGTCCCAAAATTATAGAAAACTTGGTGGATTTGCTGTTTATATTCTATTAAAGTGTGTCATACTGCAGATGTTAAGGAGGTCTAAATAATTGGTTTAGTTTAAAAAAAAACAATAAAAGACCTATTTGTTCAGCAGTGGAACTCTCTGCCCTGGAGCGTAGTGGAGGTTCCTTCTTTGGAGACTTTTAAGAAGAGGCTGGATGACCATCTGTTGGGGTGCTTTGAATGCGATTTTCCTGCTTTTTGGCAGAATGGGGTTGGACTGGATGGCGCACAAGGTCTCCTCCAACATTAGGATTCTATGATTCTATGATTTTATTTGTTCCAGAACCCAAAAGGAGTAATAGGTGAATTCTATTATCCTAGAGGATTGGCATTTGGACATTATTTGTGTGTATTCTTTGCTCTTCAGAGCTCAATTCCCTCTTGCTTTTGGTACTGGCCTGCCATTTATTTATTTAATACTAGCTGTACCTGCCACGTGTTGCTGTGGCCAACCTTCCCTCTTTCTCTCCTTC